CTTTCACTTATCCCCTCCCGCTCTTCATCCTCTCTCTCTCTCTCTCTCTCTCTCTCTCTCTCTCTCTCTCTCTCTCTCTCTCTCCACTCGTCCTCCTCCTCTTCCTCCATCCGTCTCTTTTTCTGTCTTTCAGGTCAATGAGAGCGAGCAGCAGCAGCTCGATGAAGAGCCGATCTCCCCTCTTCTCTCTCCACCATGCTTCCATATGTTAGAAAACACGGTCGTCTTATTTTAGCAACACCGCCTTCCTCGTCCTCCTCCTCTTCCTCCCTCTCTCTTGGCCACCTCTTTTTCTGAGTTTTGACTTTTTTTTCTTTTATTTATTTTTTTCTTTGAACACACACTGGTTGGAAACATGAAGCGTGGGTCGAGTGTGTTGCAGCCCTCCTCTGATGCAGCCAAACGACACACACACACAAAGACACACACCGGCGATGAGGCCCGTGTGCTCAGCGTGTCTGCAGAGGGCACCGCCGACACACACGCCGCCAGTTCAAGCCCCTTCCAAGCAGCCACCTCTCTGTTCAGCCCTGATGTCAGCTCCAAGATGGCGTCTGACCTCCTCATCAGGCTGTCAGGTACAAAACACACAAACACACTACTTTGTTTCACAAACACTCACATACACGCACATACAAGTTTGTATTTCTATCCTTATAAGGTCCCTTCATTGACATCCAATCATTTCCAGTATTTTCTATAGCCTAATCCTGAACATTTACCCTAAAACTAACCTCAACTCAGTTCACACCTTAGTCCTAAACCAAACCCCCAACCTGAAAATGGAGTTCCACCATATGAGGACTGGTCTTTGGTCCCTGTTAGGACCACTGGTCTTGACAAGATAGGTGTGTACACCAGAAACAATCCTAAACAAGTAACAAAAAGAAGTACACACACTTTGTGTTCCTAACACATAATCCATTTCAGATCCATCCATCCAAACATCCATCCATCTTTACATCCATCCATCCATTTTTACATCCATCCATCTGTCATCCATTCATCTTTACATCCATCCATCCATCATCCATCCATCCATCTTTACATCCATCCATCCATCCATCTTTACATCCATCCATCCATCCATCTTTACATCCATCCATCCATCCATCCATCTTTACATCCATCCATCTTTACGTCCATTCACCTTTACATCTATCCATCCATTTTTACATCCATCCATTCATCTTTACATCTATCCATCCATTTTTACATCCATCCATTCATCTTTACATCTATCCATCCATTTTTACATCCATCCATTCATCTTCACATCTATCCATCTGTCATCCATTCATCTTTACATCCATCCATCCATCCATCCATATTTACATCCATCCATCCATTTTTACATCCATCCATCCATCCATTTTTACATCCATCCATCCATCCATCCATTCATCTTTACATCCATCCATCCATTCACCTTTACTTCCATCCATCCATTTTTACATCCATCCATCCATCCATCCATTCATCTTTACATCCATCCATCCATTCACCTTTACTTCCATCCATCCATTTTTACATCCATCCATCCATCCATCCATTCATCTTTACATCCATCCATCCATTCACCTTTACTTCCATCCATCCATTTTTACAT